GGCAGGATGCAAATCAGTGGGTGAGAAGTTACACAGTCAAGTACAGCATAGATGGAATGAACTTTGTGCCCTACAAGGAAAATCGTCGTGTGAAGGTAGGTGTTGAGCTGGTCAATGTAAGAGTTGAAATAAAATTCTGTACAATTCATGTGCATACTGTATGGATTCTGGTATAAGTGTTGTCTTTTACTTGGTAGACATGACACTCTATTTCTCAGATGTTAAGTCCTAGTTAGTAAGCAACTTTGAGGATTTTTTCAAGGATCCTAAATCTAGATAGTCTCGATTAATTACATGGTAATAAAGTAGTACTTTAATGTTTTTATGGAAGGATTTGATGAGGATCTAAAAAAGATTGTCAATCTAAGCAAGGATCCCATGTATCCCATGGGCAGTAAATTAAAGATCATTAATGTTCGACATCCTTGACTTTGTCAATTACATAATTATATGTCCTTGTAGGTGTAGTTAGTGTACATGTACTTGAAAATCCTTGAAAATGTTTGTCAAAAGTGTTAAAGATTTAATATCAACTTTCTGGAAGATCTTTTATGTCCAGTTTTTTTAATAACCCCCTTTGTTAGATCTCTGAAATTGCATTGTCAAGATGTAACAGTGGCTCATTTTGCGCATTTGCTTGATGTTTGTGTACTACACCCTCGAGTCAATGATTGCATGATTTCTGAAGTTCTACAACCTCTTTCTCTGTAGCTTTTCAATGCTAACACGGACCGTCACTCAGTAGTTTATCACCAGTTCATGAGACCGTTCACTGCCATTTATGTGCGGATATATCCAAGATCTTGGTACAGCTGGATATCAATGAGGGCTGAAATTTTTGGTTGTTCAGGTATTATTTCTGAATGAATTTTAAGAATGTCTTTAAGTTTTTGGGCTTTATGTTTTTGATCTTCCGTTATTTGAATTCTTGATTTCGTTTTAAAAGCACCTGTTGCCAAATTGTTAGTTCAGAATTATAATACCTGTAAGTTTCATTGCTATTACTTTACCCATTCCAGTGTCACTGTGTAACCGCGCCCTGGGACTGCAAAATGGCCGAATCCGTAACAGCCAGATCACTGCATCCTCAGAAGTAAACCGTTACCATGCTGCTTGGCTTGGTAGACTAAAACGAGTGAAGGCTGGTCGTTACATAGGAGCCTGGTGTCCCAAGCACAGGAACCACAATCAGTGGTTCAAAGTGGACTTCCGTCGGCTAATGAAAATAACCAAAATAGCCACACAGGGAAGACATGATGCCGGTCATTGGGTCACATCATACTATTTGTCATCAAGTGTGGACAATGTACATTGGGCAATATATCGCTTCAGAAGTGCAAATCAGGTATTCAGTCGTATCTCTACAATAGTTTGTTCATCAGCAATGACAACCCCAAAGTTTTCATTTTTTCCTCAAGTTTTTTCACACATATTTACTTGAAGCGTTGCTTCTTGGCGTCACATGGCAAGCCCCACGCAAATCCAAGAAGCACCCATATCCACTTCAAGAAACGTCACTGAGAAAAACAAAGTGGGTTACAGTTGTTGTACGTTTATCCATATTTTTGGTAGTATGGTATATTATAAAGGGTTAATTTTGTTATTTGTCTCTTTATTTTCAAATAGCTCTTCCAAGCAAATCGTGATCAAAACAGCATTGTGACCAATGCAATTAATCCATCTATCAGAGCGCGCTATGTGCGTCTTAATCCGCGTGGCTGGCGTGGTTATCCATGCTTGAGGGCAGAATTTTATGGATGCCCAGTTGGTAGGTAGTCGTTTAAACGAAAAAAAAATATTTAATAGAAAATTGTCTTAATTTTTGGCATCGTAATTGGAAGGTCTAGACGAGCTTGTCTGCTTTCATGTTCACCAGTATGTCTGCATGCATGATACAGTGTAGTTAATAACTTTGTCTCTTAAATTGGGGGCAGCATTGTGTAGTGGTTAAGGGCGCGTGATTTGTGAAAAAGAGGTCTAGATTTCAATTAAATCCTCCTCCCTGCCGCCAGATGGATTTGTGTTGGTGGTCCCAGATTCAACTCCTCCAAATTTTGTAAATAGGCAAGTAGTCAGCTTCACACCAGTTGGGATTTTTAACAAGTTTCTGTTCAATTTACAATATTTGTTTGTTTTTTCAGTGTCCCAACAAGTACTGACAGTAGCGCTAAACACTTCAACACTTAATCGTTGGATGTTGGCCACTATTGAACTTTTTCCACTTTCACTTCAACACTTGAATAAACTGATTTATTTTATTTCAATTATTTATTTAAATCTTATTTTTATTCTCAAAGATCGATGTGACGTTCCACTTGGAATCCAAGATGGCCGCATCACAAGATCCATGTTCACTGCCTCATCCATGCACAACCACTATTACGGTCCTTGGAGTGCCAGACTGCAGGCGCAGAACCGAGGTTCTACCCGAGGGGGCTGGCTTGCCAAATACCGCAACACCCATCAGTGGCTGCAGATTGACTTAGGAGTAATTTCCGTTGTGAAGCGAATTGCTACCCAGGGTCGGTATGATGCGAACCAGTGGGTTACATCATATACTGTTTCCTACGGCAACAATGGAGTCAGATTTTTCCCTTACAAGCAGGCGAGAAGAACCAAGGTAAGGCAATTGCATTTCTTTAAAGCACGCACTTCTGGACTGGAACAGAAAATTAATATTTTATTTTATATTTTATAGTGTAATTGAAGCTCCAGTCGTAACATTCTGGAAATTGTTGTCAAACAATGGCATAGAAAGTTAATAGAGACTTAACGCAAAAAAAATGACGGCAACGACAGTGACAACATCGCCAAATAAAAGGCCTAATGAACGGAACAACGGATCTTCAAATGCGCTTTTGTACATTTTGAAACAGTCCTTTGCAAACTGAACAACTTGAAGTGACCAATTTCCAAGTTGTTTGGAGAATGTGGCCACTATCATAATGGCTAATTTTTGTTTTCGTATTTCTATCTGGAACTGAATAAATTCTTAGCATATTTCGGCGAGGCCAAGTCTATACAGGCGGAAACAGTGAATAAATCGAGTGAACTGCAAATTTCTGAAGTAAAATATAAATATTTTTTCTAAAACAGCTGTAGGTGTCATGATGACCATTGCTGTCGCATGCACATAAAGTCCGTAATAAATATTTCTTTCTTTCTTTGCTGACTGTTCTTCTGCATTGTACTTATAGCTCTTCCAAGGAAACACTGAGCGGTACTTTGTTGTAGTGCACAGATTACGCCCAGCCATCAAAGCCCGATATGTACGTATTAATCCCAAATCATGGTACGGACACCATATTGCCCTGAGGGTTGAGCTGTATGGCTGCAGACTGGGTAAGCCGTAACCTGACTATCACACACGGTTTTGGTTTTCTGAAATTAGTCATGTCACTAAGGCCCCGACCATACTAATGTGTTTTCGTTTGAAAATGCATACTTTTTGATGTGTTTTCGCCTATCGTTCACACTAAAACGAACGAAAACGTTGATGAAAACGGAGGATTTCAAAAACGGTTTCAAAAGTGGAGCCTTTTGAAAATGCATCGTTTTGAAATGCTCCATTTCTAGTGTTGATAGGTGAAAACGGAGGCTTTTGAGAACAGGGCCGAAGATAGCGTCATATAGTGTCGTTTCCTTCAGCGTTTTCGGTCGTTTTAGAGTGGAAGACAGGTGAAAACGCATTAAAAGGTATGCGTTTTCATACAGGAACGCATTAGTGTGGACAGATGAAAATCAACCAAACACTCAAGTGTGGGCAAAAATATTTTGCTTTGTTTTCGCTGAGACGAAAACAGATAATTTTAAAAACTCATTAGTGTGGTCAGGGCCTAT